CACACATTTACGCCCAAATCCTCTGTATTGAAGCAACCCAAGCATGAATTCTAAGACATAATCAAATGCTTTTGCCAGGTTAAGCTTGAACATGATAGAGTGGATTTTTCCACCTCAACGCCTCGGTTATGGCTTGAACATAAACAAAATTGTCATGAATACTTCTTCCTTTAATAAATGCATTTTGACCTTGGGAAGTCAGCCGGTTCATCTTAGGTTGCAGCCTAGAGCCAAAATCTTAGCAACAATTTTAGCAAAGTAATGTTTTTTAGGAAAGCAAAGTAGTGGATTTAATATAAATTTGTTCATCAACGAAATCCTATACATGGAGTAAATAAAAAGGAACACTCCATGGTGTCTAGCTTGGAGCTCTGTGTACTCTCATGTTTGCATCCAACCATCCCATTTTATCTATCCTACTTCTGTTCAAGATCTTTGGGTTGCCACTAGAAAATAGTGACATACTAATCTTGTAACCCAACTTTTCTCTGAGCCTATATATAGCCTCTGCTATTCTCCAAACTCCTATTATCCAGGATGACAATGAAGACATTCTTTGATGGGATTTGACACCTAATAGTAAGTGTAACTCTAAGGTGTCTATAAGTTGTGTTCGCAGGATATACAACAAGCTCCAAACATTCAGGCTTCTTAGGTCCCCATTGCAGTCAAGAACATTCTCAAGCAAGTGTGGAAAATTAAAGGCTTGGATCCAAGAATTCCAACCTTTACTTGGAGGCTACTAAGAAAGGCGCCTCCCACCGGAGCAAGGGTAGGTACCTCATTGAAAATGATATGCACCTCTTCTTCCTATGTCCATTCACTAAAGTTGTCTGGCTCTCTTCACCTTGTTTTTAAACTCTGAAATTTTAATTACCGGACAAGATTCTTTGCATGCTACCATCCTGCTTCTTCTTTCCATGAATCACCTCTATGCTTCCATGCAAAATATTCTCACATTTATGTGATCACTTTGGAAAGATAGGAATGATAAACTATTTAATAGGGAAGAAGCCACCTCATCACATCCATCAGAACGAGAAGGCTATCTCAGCTTCAGTTTCTAATTTATTACATGATGATCATGCAATTGCAAACAATGGTGTCCGTCCACTAGCTGCTGGGCCAACTACTCCCTCCTCCAGTTCATACTATTGATTTTGATCTTTTGATTGTAGGGCCTAAAATCTTCTCAGATGCTTCTTGGAAGAAGAACAAAATTCCTGGTAGAAGCACTATTCCATCAACATGTCTGGGGATTTGTTTTCAACTTGCAGAAGGCGCGTGTTTCTCTTCGCTCATGATCCAAGCTTCCATGGAGCTTGCGTCTTCTCCCTTGGTGGCCGAGGGAGTTGCTCCTCACCTTGCGACAGTCATTGTGGACAAACTCAACCTGTAGGGTGTCACCTTCCTTACTGACAATTTCTCCCTAGCAAAAGCAGCAGTTGTTGACGGTATATCTTCATATTCATCTCACTAGACTAGCAGGCAACACTTGGCAAGATTTTTTAACCTCTCTAAGCATCACAGGCATTGTAGTTTTTCATATTGCTAGAAACTTAAATAGTTTTGCTCATGATGCCGTTCATCAGATTCTAAACTCTAGAGTAGAACCTGCTTATGCACGTACTCCCTCTGTAAGCAAATATAAAAACATTCAGATCACTAAAGTAGTGATCTAAACGAAGTATCAAGCAGGCTCATAGGCATCTTGGTTGTCCTTATATTCAAGCTATCTCAGAGCTGAGATACCACCAGTTTGTAATCCACGCTGTAACATGTACTTGAGCACTGTTTGAATGAAATTTGGCGCCTTGAGCGCCTCAACTTGTTGAAAAAGAAGGAACAAAGGGAGTACATCATGTATGAACCATGTGACGAACAGAACTACCCCACGTTTTCACCTGTTGATCGTGTCGAGGGCGACCGAGACGTACGCGCCCGGGCTACCGAGCCGTAACCTGCGTGGACGACGGCACGTTTCCGTTCGACAAGAGGGAAGAAAAACCTGCGAACGAACGGCTCACGAGTCGCGGGTCCCGGTCCAGCCTCCAGCAGGAAGTCTTCCTAGCCCGAGCGAGCGGTGCCACGCGGCCGCGGCAGGGCACGGTGGCAAGCCGCCAAAATAGGCATCCTGGTCTCGCGAGAACCAGCCACCCACATCACAGCCAAGAAGCGGCGGCGAGGGCGAGCGGGCGATAAAATCGCGGCCTCTCTCCTCTCGGCTTCTATTCCATCTTCGCCTCGCCAACTCCAACTCTCTCTCTCTCTCTCGCTTCCTCGGCAACAAGACGAACAACTCTGGTACGAACCACCTCACCTCCTTCCCTCGCGACGCTTTTTCCTTCTTCTGGCGCCGCCGCCTCGTGAGTGTCCGACAATGCCGTGTTCCGTCCGGGGTTTCGCTTCTTGGCGGCTGCGTCCATCGCTCTGACGAGATTGAGTAGCCCTACTCCCGATTCAGCCATCTTTCTCTTCCTGCCTGTACGTCGCGCCGGCTTTAGATTCTTCCAAGGGTTTCTTCTTCTTTCTTGCGGCCTTTCAAGTGTGTTAATGGCGGAGACGCGTTGCCGTTTGGCTTCTGGAACGGAGACGCGGATTCGCTAGGGAATCGATGCAATTTTCAGAGATGTCTCGATTAGGCTGGGCCGACGGGGTGACGCGTCCGGGGTTCCACTTTCAAGTTTTATCTCTCTTGACGCGATTGTTTGAACTATGGATCTGCAGCATGTTTTGGGTTGGCGGCGGAGAGCAAGGGGATGGATAACCTCAGAGATGGAGAGAGAAAGAACGGACGCAGATATTTTGTTCAATTTGGTTCGTGTTTTTGGCTGTTTGCCTAGGTGATTCGTGTGGACATAGGAGAAGAGAATGAAGGCCACTTACATCTACAAGTCCTTATCAATAGAATTTTCAAAATCCAGTTCATTTTTTAAAATTCATTTTTCTACAGTAATAATGTTGCATGCTTACACAAACAAACTGCAGTATACGGGGAGTGGATCATCTCTCTTCTCCTCAATCTTTTCTTACATCCTCTTCCTTTTACTTTTGAATATTCTTTCCATACTATTCTCTTTTAGATTCTTCTCCATTCTTCTCTTTTAGCTGCTGTCTCTGAACTTTCATCATATCTGTTTCTTTTTTTGGTGATGGAACAGTTCTCTCTCCCCCATATTTTGAGCTGAAATTTAGACAGCTATTCAATTTGCTTCAGGCATTTCAAGTAAAAAACGGAAAACATTTTCTTCACATATGCCTGTATGGTACTTATTTCATAATGGAAATAAGAGGTTGCTAATTAGAGTAATATGTTTCCTTTCTTGTTCAAATGAGAAGATCAAATTGACAGCACATCCTTTTTATAACGCCCATGTTTTGTGCAACTGTTCCTCAGGTTTGAGCACACACGCCAATGGGTATCTTCAGTGGAACGCCTCCTCCGAGCTGCCCATCAGCTCCGCATTGCGCGGAATGGGCTAAAGTCTATCTGAAGTACTGCCTGTGCAGTACTAAGGATGGTGTTGCCCTGGGTCTTGGACTGGCTAGTGTCCTCAGTTGGGGTATCGCCGAGGTGCCGCAGATCATAACAAATTACAAACAGAAGTCAACAGAAGGCCTTTCTATTGCCTTTCTGATGACCTGGATAGTTGGGTATGTTGTTTCTTATCTCTCACCTTCCTCGCATATTGATGTTGTATCATCCTTATTGTACTTGCATATGCATATCGTGCGCAACGCTTCTAATGGTGTATGTCATTCTTCTGCACTCATGCAGGGATTTGTTTAACCTTGTCGGCTGTTTCCTGGAACCTGCTACTGTAAGATCCACTATTGCCACAGTTTCCTTTTCTTTTCTCAAATTCCATCATACGACATTTTTCTTCCGCGAGGCACATGCACCCGTTACATGTGTTAATATCCTATATATAGGACACTAGTAGTTTTGTCTGATTTAATGAACTATCCGACTGCAGTTTCATTTGGACAATATAATGACGTGTTATTCATGAGTATGAAAAGCAACCAAATCATTTCTGCTTGCCTGCCATGTTCCTGGAACCAGCAAGAGCTAGTATAGTTATGCTGGATGAACTCATGCATTTTTTTTTGAAGCGGAGAGTAACTGAATATGAACACTAATATAATAGTTCCAAGCATATATAGTATCTCAAAATGGGAGATTCCCTAACAATCTAAACAAGTTATATAAATGATTTAGATCTGCTGTACATAAACCTGATTATGCTTGCCAATACAGCCCTCTTGCATTTAATGTGTACAACTTCTTCATGTTCAGTTGTTCTTTTTTCAAGAAAACGCGAAGGACCTTTGTGTTTCATTTAATTGAAAAGAGAGAGTTTAAAGTTGCAGTTGTGATGTAGAAAGGATGCGTGGGATTAAATAATTATCTTTTATTTTGAACATTTGAAATTAATATTTTTTATTTGTAATGCAGCTGCCGACACAGTTTTACATGGCATTGGTAAGGACACCATTTTCTTAACTCTTGTTACTTCAATTCTGCGTGGTTTCTGTCATCTGAGAACTTAATTTTTGCAATGCAGCTATATACCATCACAACTGTGATTCTCACTGGACAGACAATATACTATAGCCACATCTACCATCTTAAAGTAAAGAAAACTGGGGTAACTGCCAAGGTGATCACTCCGTAACATTGACGATTATCATTATGTTTGCAAGGAATCACGTTTCTCTGAATATTAGCAAAATAGATACTTAATGTGGTTAACAATTGTAGAGAAGCAACCACTGTATATGAACAATACTTCTATTTCTGGATTCATGCACTTATGATGCAGCTGCTCGCGGCTTTGCAAAGTAGTTTAGTGTTACCACAAGCCAGATTCCCTTAAAAATTGTTTAGATACCTTTTGGCTCCTACCATCTTCCTAAACTATCCTCTCACTTCTGTTGGACTACATTTTATGATTTCAGTCTCAGAAACATCAACGAGGGGATGCTTCATTACGTGAAAAGCTTTTGGGACATAGGGACGAGGCATTCAAAAATAATATTCAGTCAGGTCCGACTATTCCTATCCCGAGCTCACCAATCCAGGTGAACACAGAAGTATTCCGGCAACGTCATGGTTCAGTCAGCCCCGGCTCAGACTACTACTATGCGTAATGTTCTTGAGCTTGTTAATGTTTCATCATATTTCACAGTTTTTTTCAACATTTATTTCATTCCTTAAAGCAAATTATGTCCACTTCTTTGGATAAATATTGTTTGTTTGCTCTATTACATGGAATACGGCAATGGACTGCACTCTTGATGGTTACTTCGGGATGTTGCAGTTTTATTATCACCTGCTGACAGAGCACTCTAGCTATCAGATAATATTCCAGGAGCATCTAACTCTCTGATTGGTTTTACAGGTCAGCAAGATCTCTATCGAGGAGCCCGGTGCCTACAGGTACATGGTTGGGGAATAATCACCAGACAACAAAAGTTCCTCCACAAATGAGCGATGAAGGTGAACCTTTATTTGGCGAGTTTGTTCCAGCGCAGTCTGCACCAGCTGCTATTACAAAAAATTCCCTCTCAGTGGTACATTAACTTTGATCCTGTTGATACTTGTCTATTAAGGTCGGAACTATACAAAAACTTATATTGTTTGAATTCAGGTACCATGGATTTCTGTTGTCTTGGGCATGTGTGTGTTGCATATTTTGGTTGGAACTGCACGCAGGGATGCTTCCAATGAAATTATCATCACTGTCGGCAGGAAGCTCTTAGTTGTAGCGGTAAGCTGTAGCTGCTCTCAAGTTTCAGACCTTCGGCAGTACCAGGCAATTTGCATGAACAATGAACTATGTTTTCAATTTGCATATCTGATTAGTTTCTTCTTGCACCATAGGATGACCATGCAGGTTCATCTCCGAGCCATGGCAGTGCAAGTGGAATTGGAAGCTTTCTTGGTTGGGCCATGGCGGTTATCTATATGGGCGGACGACTTCCCCAGATCTTCTTAAATGTAAGACAGTAAACAATTGAATGTTCTTTTTTTCTTATTACTCTTCTTGTCACCGGAAATTCTTTTCCGATACTTAGTCCTATTGCTGGATACGGTACAAATATCTATAGTGGGATGAGGTCATTTGTGAAAGCTAAAATGGTGTCAGTAAAAGGCATGGCACACGAGGGAACATCTATTATACTTTCAGTTTCAGTCACTCCTGTTCCTACTCGTTTCTACTGCAAATGCGCATCTGATGGTGTTGAATAATAGCATTAGTTAATCTCGAGAAATTCTTTAAAACCATAGTAGTAATGCAATATGTCATCTTTTTGGTATTTCTAACTTTTCGCTACTACTCTGCAGATGCAAAGAGGCCATGCCGAGGCAAGTTCATCTCCATCTTCATCAATAACTTCTTTTACTGCAGGAGACACTTCCACTTTTCTCATTTGTCACCATTTTTTGCATTCCTTGTTGCATAATTAGCGACTGCATGAATGGTGTAATGACGGCCCCGCTGTCTCTGAGATGGACCCTATGAAAATTAATAAATATTCAGTTTTCCCTAAGAGGAATTAGTAGCCCACTTCGTCTTAGATGTCAATGTCATATAATTGTTGCATGCAATTCACATTGATGCGGTTAAGTGGAAAGTGGATACTAAAATAAAAATTAGCTGTACTATGAATTGAACTAAATATAGCGGTCTAGTTGTTGATTGCCATATGTTTCTTTTGGTTATTATGCAAGAGAGGTAACTCGAACTTAATTCTTGAAGGTTGTATTAGTATGTGGTGTTAAGTTTAGGCATTATCCTTCTAAATTTTTAATCACTTTGGTCATCCCACTGCACTTTATTGCGGCACCTCATTATAGTTTGAATAAAATATGCCCCTACCTTCCTATCCTATTTCTCTGACTGGAGAGATATACGATGTCAAATTTTGACTAAAACAAAGCCATTTTAAGCCCATCTTATTTTTCTGACAGGAGAGACACTATCGCATTTTATTTATGTAGGAAATCAACATTAACTGCATCGATCTCTGTTGTTTTGGGTTTTGTTTAAAATATTTTCTGATGCTGGTAACTTATCTGACCTGTCGGCAACTTTGTTCAGGGGCTCAGTCCGCTAATGTTTACCTTTGCTTTAGTGGGGAATACGACATATGTAGGGAGGTAACCATGTACCTAACTTCATTTGTTTAACCTTATTCAGTTACTTTATATGTATTTGTTTAGTAAAAGATGTCCTTTGGCGTGTTATGTTTCTTAGTATAGTACTCCCTCCGTTCCTAAATATATGTCTTTATAGAGATTCCACTACGGACTACATACGGAGCAAAATGAGTGAATCTACACTCTAAAATATGTCTATATACATCCGTATGTAGTCCATATTGAATGAAATCTATAAAAACGCTTATATTTAGAAACGGAGGGAGTAGCTATGTAGCCTAGAAACCTGTAAATTTTCCGACATTGCAATGAACTGTCATGTTCCACACCAAGCAGGTGCATCCCTTGTCACTTTTAGGGTACCATATATAAAATACAAGGACAGACCATGTTATGTTTCTTTTTTCTTGAAACCAGCTTTAGTTGGCCACGTTTTATGGTTCTCATATCCATTTGTTTTTCATTGCAGTATCCTTGTGAATAGTTTGGACTGGGCAAGGCTTAGACCAAATCTGCCGTGGCTTGTAGATGCTGGAGGATGTGTTTTGCTTGATTCTTTCGTATCCTTGAGGACCATTGATTCCTACAGTTACTGGTATTCTTTGTTCTGCAACTCAAAATAGTTTTTGTGCAAACTTTTGTGCCGAAGAGAGGTTTGAACTGACTTGTTTTCAGATGCCATTGTTTTAGAATCATTATTGAGTTGCCTTTGTAGCTATCATCTCACATAAGGCTCCGGATCTATGAGTAGAGAAATATTACCACGATGTAGTTGAGTATGACTGTGTCTTAGGATCATATACGTTAGTTTCCAAAAATGGCTGAGACCTATGTTTTAGAATCTGGTCGGTGGTACCATGATATGCCATATCACAATTCATAGCAGATTTCAATCAGTTGTTGCATTGGAAGAATCCTTAACCATATCTGCAGATTATTCTTCAGTTCCTTTATTTTCATTACCGGAAGCAAAGTGGGCGTGATGAACTTGACAATTTGGATAAAGCCTAATGCATAGTGAAAAAGTATTTCATTTCTCTTCTTCAATGGAAAAGGTTGGTGTGCCGCTCTCGTCTTTGTCCGTTATATATATTGAATGGCAATTTATCGCTTTGCAGTGCCTATTTTATGTGTGGTAAGATAAAAGAAAAAGAAAACCTGCAAAATAAGATAAAACAGTGCTCAAGCCCCTGTACTAGAAAATCGGTGAGCCAGATTGTTAGATACTCTTTACATTTTTGAAACATCTCGCCATGAATTCTTGCTTAGAAATAGGAACGCTGACCTCAGTCGGATGGTTGGCTTGGGCATTCTCTGTTGCGGATTCTCTTTTAACCTTCTATGGATGGAGCCAGAACATCCTTCTGACCATTTCTCAATGTTTCTGTTTTTCAGACATGGAGGTACCACCTGCGTGGGGATTGTGCATTTTTCCTGGAAAGCTGCGCAATAGCACTCCCCGTGCAGAACTGCAGAGGCAAGGTTCACAGGCTTAATTTGCGGTGAATGAGCTGCGGCGCCGCATGGCTAAGGGATGAAATCTGTTAAGGGATAGATGCACGAAGTCTGCTGTGTTAGAATACCAAAAAGTGTGTCATGTACTCGGGGTCGTGCTATATCTGTACATCGTATGGTGATTTGCAGTTCTTCATGCTATCTCTATTTTTGAAGTGATGCCCGTATTGTGTATGATCTGGCCGTTGTCGTCGGATGCTCAGATTCAAATACGCGTCGAGGCCGATTTTACTTGTTTTTCTTGTGTGGGACTCACCCGATTTTATCCAAGTGTTCATCACATGAGCTGCGCACAATGACGTTTACAAGTGTGGACTGGAGAACACAATAAAGTAATGTATTTGCTAATTCTCATCTATAGATAATAGTAAATGGAGAATGATCAAAGTGTCAACTTAAAAGATCGTGTCAATGTTCTAGTACCTACTCAGTATATCATGGGCTAGAGTATCCTATGTCTCTAGGTTAGACTTAAACGCTCTTATATTAGTTTATAGAGGGAGTGGAAACTAACTACGAACTATATTATTTTTGTGTTATCTATTTTGTAGTCTCCTTTGGGTGATTAGAATGGTAAGCTGTCCAGGGTCATTGACAAGAGTGCTATTTATGCTAGTACAACTGCTTAACTATGTAAGATAATAATACAAGATATTTTGTAAAGTAGTATTTATTTGTCTAATTTTTTTATTATTTTTTAGGGCTTGCTCCCAGCTTTCTTCTTCCCTAGGGAATTATGCTCATGACTAAATTGCCAAAGGGTAAAATACTCTGAAACCACATGGAGGATAAAATTGCAGCATTGTAGTTGAGTTTGAGGTCTTTTTTTAGCTCAAGCAATATTCGAGTTATTGTCTATAAACATTATGTCCAAATTGCACACATCTTAAAAGAAAATGGTTCTGCAAAATTTTGGAGCAACGCAGGGTTACTCAAGTGTTCTATAACATTCTATAAACGTTTTTAAGTTTCAGCCGGACTTCATCCTCTCTTGATGTCTTAAGAGTTACTCCAGTGTTCTCCGATGTTTAGTCATTATTACAGTTTATCGGCACAGTGCTGCCCTCATGCTTGCTAATGATCTGATTCTTCTTTGTAACTACAGGAGCTTTTAGGTTGCATAGGTTCCGCCTCCAAATAGTTGACTTGTGGTGTCTATGCTGTTACATTAATTTCATTTCTAGTGCCTTGTTTGTCCTAAGTTTGCATTTTACTTTGGTCATTGACATGGTGGAATTCAGTTAGTTGATTGAGATAGGGATACATGGGTGGTTTAGGAGAGAATGGTATGCTTTCAACACCAACTTGATTTAGACTACTACATGTTCAGTTGTGTAGTTTATTCTTAGAACTAGAAGTATTATGTATTCTTTCTCTATTTTTTAGGCTTACTCTTTCTTATATTTTCTTTGTTCTTACCAGATAGTTTTTTTCAATGTATTTCGATCCTTCTGAAAAATATTTTCACTTTATTTCTATTGGGTATGACCCTATACCAAATGGTAGAGCACTGTCCACTAGTTGCAAAGTCCGTGTACATGGATCATGTGCATGTGGATAATTCTTGCATAATGCGTATTTGTATACTTATCATTCTCAATTTAATAAATTTCATAAAAATCTAACTGTTTCATTTTCAAATTTTCTAGCCATGTGAATGCGCGTGTTGATGACTAGTTATTATAGGGCTGGTGTTAAAGATGTTCTAATAAGCATTACTTTCTAACTATCATACGAATCTCGTGGTGGCAAGCAGGCACTGCCATGTCGATCTCTCATGTTTGGAAACAACCTATCATCACACGCCTTTTGCATGTATGCCGGTTATTGCACCTAAATCCTCCAATTACGCGTTGATTTAATGATAAACATAAACATAATCTACATGCACCCGTGCATTGCTCTATATATACATATATAACATTCCTTCAAACCTATGTGACAAAGAAAAACATCTCTCCAGGAAGTAGAAAATTATGCTCTCTTTCCATCTCGTGTTATCTGTGTTAGCCAAAAACAACCGACCCATGGCATCGGTCACCTCCGCGCCTTCCTGGTTTTCCTCCTCCTGCAGGTCTGGCTGTTCTTGATGATGGCTGCATCGACGTAGGTGCAGGGAAGGCCTGTGGGAGTGGCGTCGGTTCCCGCATGCTGCACCTACCACGTTGAGTGCTGCCAGCGTCTGACGGCGGAAGCCTCGCTCGCCGCCACCGCTTTTTCCTGACGGCCACACCTGTGACCTGTGAGTTCACTCTCCCCTCTATCCCGGTGATTAGCGGAATCAACGTGAGCGCTCATTCCACTGGTTCTGCATGCGCCGATGTGATTCTGCTGCTTTTCATGTCTCTATATACTAGTAGTAGTAGTCAAGCATGTGCGCATGCACATGATAATAGTGGATGAGAGTATAATAGTACCCGTGGTAAGGAAGAATATGTATTATTCGATACAATGTGCTTGTGCAGATTTATCTTCAATTGCTACATGCACAAAATCACAAAAACTAACATAAACACCAGTGAAGCTGTTGCTCACACTGACTGCTACTACTATGACTAACAAGTTGCAAAAGAATATTTTTGTAACCAACAGGCGGTTGTCCCTATTCCACATATTGGTGGTAGGAGATGTAACAGTGAGCAATAGACTTGGTAATTGTGTAGCCATATCACATGTGTTTGATACTCTATGAACTTCTGAAGAAAATATGCCCTAGACGCAATAATAAAGTTATTATTTATTTCCTTATATCATGATAAATGTTTATTATTCATGCTAGAATTGTAACTGGAAACATAATACATGTGTGAATACATAGACAAACGAAGTGTCACTAGTATGCCTCTACTTGACTAGCTCGTTGATCAAAGACAGTTATGTTTCATAGCCATAGACATGAGTTGTCATTTGATTAACGGGATCCGTTAGCTTAGCACTTGATCGTTTAGTTTGTTGCTATTGCTTTCTTCATGACTTATACATGTTCCTATGACTATGAGATTATGCAACTCCCGTTTACCGGAGGAACACTTTGTGTGCTACCAAACGTCACAACATAACTAGGTGATTATAAAGGTGCTCTACAGGTGTCTCCGAAGGTACTTGTTGAGTTGGCGTATTTCGAGATTAGGATTTGTCACTCCAATTGTCGGAGAGGTATCTCTAGGCCCACTCAGTAATGCACATCACTATAAGCCTTGCAAACATTGTAACTAATGAGTTAGTTGCGGGATGATGTATTACGAAACGAGTAAAGAGACTTGCCGGTAACGAGATTGAACTAGGTATTGAGATACCGACGATCGAATCTCGGGCAAGTAACATACCGATGACAAAGGGAACAACGTATGTTGTTATGCGGTTTGACCGATAAAGATCTTCGTAGAATATGTGGGAGCCAATATGAGCATCCAGGTTCCTCTATTGGTTACTGACCGGAGACGTGTCTCGGTCATGTCTACATAGTTCTCGAACCCGTAGGGTCCGCATGCTTAAAGTTCGGTGACGATCGGTATTATGAGTTTTGTGTTTTGATGTACCGAAAGTAGTTCGGAGTCCCGGATGTGATCACGGACACGACGAGGAGTCTCGAAATGGTCGAGACGTAAAGATTGATAGATTGGACGACTATGTTCGGACACCGAAAAGGTTCCGGAAGGTTTCGGACATATATCGGAGTACCGGGGGTTACCGGAACCCCCCCCCCTCGGGGGGGGGGGGGCTTAATGGGCCTACATGGCCCTTAGTAGAAATAGAGGGAAGCAAGGGGAGTGTGGGGCGCGCCCCCCAAGACCCAAACCGAATTGGTTTAGGGCAAGGGGGGTCGACCCCCTCTTTCCTTCTCCTCCTATCCCTTTCCTTCCCCCTCTCCTACTCCTACTAGGAATAGGAGGAGTCCTACTCCTAGTGGGAGTAGGACTCCCCCTTGGCGCGCCTCTCCCTGGTCGGCCGCCTCCTCCCCCTTGCTCCTTTATATACGGGGGCAGGGGGCACCCCATAGACACATAATTGATCATTGATCCCTTAGCCATGTGCGGTGCCCCCTCCACCATAATCCACCTCGATCATATCGTAGCGGTGCTTAGGCGAAGCATTACGTCGATAGCATCATCATCACCGTCACCACGCCGTCGTGCTGACGAAACTCTCCTGTGAAGCTTTGCTAGATCGGAGCTCGCGGGACGTCATCGAGTTGAACGTGTGCAGAACTCGGAGGTGCCGTGTGTTCGGTACTTGGATCGGTCGGATCGTGAAGACGTACGACTACATCAACTGCGTTGTGCTAACACTTCCGCTTTCGGTCTACGAGGGTACGTGAACACACTCTCCCCTCTCGTTGCTATGCATCACCATGATCCTGTGTGTGCGTAGGATTTTTTTGAAATTACTACGTTCCCCAACAGTGGCATCCGAGCCTGGTTTTATGCGTAGATGTTATATGCATGAGTAGAACACAAGTGAGTTGTGGCCGATACAAGTCATACTGCTTACCATCA